ATTATAGTTACGGAGAATCAGTAATATAGTTATTATAATCTGATTTAATTTACTTGGTGAAAATTAATTGAATAATCAAATTTGCATGTTGAGAAAGTATAAGTTGTGTTGGAGAAGTTATGGGGTCTAATTCTACTAAAGCAAAAAAAAAACTGAAACTAATAATAGAAGAAAAAAAAAAAAAAGAGAATAGGTAAATTGATTTCCTTGAGCTTTTCACAATGGCGTAAGTGATCATACTGGTCCTGCACCATGTCACACGCTATGCAGCTACCTAATTATATATATATAATATAATATATATTGGAAAAATAAATATAGTGCAGATTTGCAAAGATCTGTAACTTTAAAATTTTGACAAATTTTATGATATTTTATAATTTAGTGGTTAAAACTTAATAATTTTGATACCATTTAATTTATCTCAATGAACAGATCAAATAGTACTAAAATTATTGAGTTTTAATCACTAGATCACAAGATAATTATATTTTAATAAATTTTTTAAATACTTAAATAACTTACCAGCCAGTAGTTCACATTTAATGATTTTGGTACCATTTGATTTCTCTTAATGAGAGGATACTAATAATATTAAAAAAGTTAAAATCAAATTACTGGTTGGTAAGATATTCACAAAAAACAATTTGTGACCAGTTCTGCACAGAACTTTAAATTTCTTTTTAAAGTTTTGCGCAGAACTGTGCCACAAAAAGCTTTTGTGGATATCTCATCAACTAGTAATTCAATTTTAACGTTTTTGATACCATTAGAATCCTCTCCTTGAGAGGAATCGAATGGTATCAAAATCATTAAATTTGAACCACTGGTTAGCGAGTCATTTAAGTATTTAAAAAAAATATTAAAATGCAATTATCTCGTGATCCAGTGATTGAAACTCAATAATTTTGGCACCATTCGATCCATCTCATTGAGACGAAGCGAATGGTACTAAAATTGTTGAGTTTCAACCACTGGATCACGAGATATCATAAAATCCACATATTTATTTTCCCGATATAAACAAAATTTTAATAATTAAAATTTTTTTAAATCGACCAATCAGAATCGTCTTACGTGGGGGAGGCCCTCATAGTAAATGGATATTACGTAATATCTGTCACAGCCCTTATTGCTTATTGATATTGTTTATTAGTCTATAAATTTTTGCTTGTATTTTTTGCTCAAGTTACATGAACTTTTGGTGCTTGATATATTTGTCACGTGGTGTTCAAACCTGATTTTACCCCGGTCGAAATTTATCAATTCCGACATATTCCGACCTTAAATTTTGGTTGATCTGCTGAATTTTGGTTGCCCCACTAAATGAGACTTAACTAAAATCCTCAAAATCCTCTCTCTACGCCCGAGATATGGTCCGAGAATAAGGTGTTTTCTATGCTGCGGCAGTCATGGGACTGGTTTCAAAGTTTTCTTACTGCTTTTTGGATTTGATTTTGTTGGCAATGCTAATGCTTATTCTTACTTTGATCCTTTCTACTAATATCTAATATATGAATCTCTTTACTATTCAATTGCGCCTGGGCTTCAATCGACTTTCGGGTTCCGAATTTCGGTGTAACGTGTACGAGATCACAACTTAGAGCAATTACGTATGTCATAAAACACTACGTTAGGGTCAGGTTTACAGCTATATTGAGACTTGTCTTATACCATGAAATTTTTTTTACTAGTGCGTAGAAGGTGGCTACAGTATATAGATGAAATTTTGAGTTATAGGCGGTTTTTTAAAAAATGCATGTGATCTTGTTTGGCAGATCACCCGAATGACAATCCTGGACCAACTTTCCCTAACACCGTCCATAAAAAAATTTAACTTAAATTATAATTAAAGCTCATCAATAATGAAGCTCTTTATCATTGCTATACACTTTATTTTTTATTAAGCATTTAGCAGCAACTAAAATAAAATACCTTCAACCATTTTTCTAAAACTTTAATGTTGAAATGGTATAATCTGTAATATTGCAATTTACTTTGTTTTTATATCAAAATGTTCTAACAATTAGTTATAATTCCAATGCAAACTAACTCAACACTGTTAACATAAGCAACGATACCATAGCGATAACTCGTAAATTAACTTTATTTAAATATTTTTTAAGTCAAAAATTTCATTCGTTCAGTTTTAATAATACAAATGTTAACTAAACCATATATTTGTTATGCCATCCCAAACAAAATAATAGAAGTAAATTAATTCTATAAAAATATTTGTTTTGTGACAATTTCAAAATAAAAATAAATTTTTTTAACTTATTATCTGTCAATTCAACCAGATAATATATATATTAACTTTTAAAACCGAAACTCTTAATAGTGTTATTTTTATTAAGTATATAACTTCTATAACGCTTATGATTTGAAAGAAACTTTCATAATTGGACATGTGGCAACGTTGATATTTGCAAGTTTATTCAATAAGTGCAACTTTATGCAAAAAAAAAATTTTAGTTAATTGACTTTCCAGATGAGGTAAGACATGTCTATATATATTAATTAAATAGTTAATTAATAGTTTATTAATTTATTCAAATTAATATTTAAGTTAAAAATCTACATATTACAATATATGGAATTACTAAAAATCCTCAAGATTATGAGCAAAGCAGGTAAGTTTTTAGAAATTATTAGACAACAGATATCATGATTTAAATTGGATTTGCAACAAGGGTAATTTAAGCTATATAGCTCGAAGGCTTTGCGCAATTTATGAAGTATAAATATTTTCATTCTGAAAATATTGTTAATCAAGATCTTTTTAATTTTTATATAACTGATTTTGGTTTATATACACCAGTATTGTATGAATCAAATTATAAAGAATTTTTTGGTGTTTCCTTATGTTGCGCCAGAATTGTTAAGAGCACCAGGAAAAAAACGCGAAAATTAAATATTTTACAACCATCCAATATTATTCTTTTGTAATTATTGAGTCTGAAATTTTTAATGAATATTTACCATAATATCTGTGATACAAATTCTCTGTCATGTTTTAGTGGCTTGGCTTCTATATTCATATTGTAATATTATGATTGCTTTTTGTAACATTCCAATTGATCATTTAATTCATGCTTTTAAAAATTATAGAATATGTTGTCAATGCGAATTTATAAATTGCTAGCTCATTAGTAAAAATTCTATTTAATTAAGTATATCATTTATTGCATTCCTTTTTTATTTGTCTAATTACTAATTATAAGTAAACGTAAGGATAATTAAAAAATAAATATGATACAATTCCTATTTTTGTTATAAGGTGAATTCTAAAATTAAATAGAATAGATTAATAGTTCCAAATTACATATAATATAGTAATACGTACGAATTTTGAAAACTTTTGGTAACCATTGTAATGTCTCGGAGTAATTGAAGGATGTGTATACTTTAGCAGATTAACAATATAAAATTTGAATCTAATAAAAGGGGAAAGTCGCTTTATTTAAATCTCAGTAATCAATTTAATAAAAAGTGATCGTTATTTTAATAAAAATTTCATTGAATAAAAGGTTTGCACGAGTTGTTACATCGGCTACACGCAGTAATTATAAATTATTATTAAATACCATAAAAGATATATTTTTTTCTTAATTGCTTTTAAATGTTTTATTTTTTTTAATGAATTTACATATAAAATTTAGTTGTGTCAATTCACTTGATCAATAAGTATTATGTTTCAGATCCATGTGAGGGAACATATCCTATAAATTAGATATCATGTAATTAATTCTAACATATTTGATATGTAATAATGACTTATGAGCATCCAAAACTATAGTTATACGTAAAGATTATAAACTATAAGTGAACGAAGGGTGTGAATCTCCCAAATGTTTAGCCTCCTCCTCATTTAGTCCTTTCAAAAATTTATCAGGATTGTTGAGCTTATCTTTATTCATTCTATCCAAGTAATAAAATTGGATTATAGATAAAATTACCGCAATAACTAAGAACGATAATGCAACAGAATGACCAAGTTTAAAAGCTGGTGCATCACCAGGTCTGTATAATTGGGCACTTACAATTCCACCAAAACTGCCCATTGATACTGCCATCGCGCAACCTACAGCACGCTTCGAATCACCTGCCAAATTATTTAACATCCTTTTATTTATTTAAAAAAAAAGTTAATACAGAATGTAGTTTAAATGTCAAAGATTTAAATAAACTAGGTAAATAAAAAAAATATATGCAATACATAGACTTACCATGCAAATGAAATAGGGATACTTGAAAAAAAACCCAATCCAACAATACAAGCACCGGAATATTTCACTAAAAGTACAAAATATTACTTTGATGCAGAGAGATATTTAAGATTAAAAATTTTACAAATAAAACTTACAAGCAATACTTGCATTATTTGCAAGAAGCAACGCGTATCCCAGGATTGCCACTAGCAAACAAGATATTAAATATGGACTACGAACGTTATGGTGATCAGATAATTTTGCTATCACGACAGATGAAATACATCCCAAAATAAATGGGGGAGTGGAAAGAAGTTGGGAAATAACTACGTATTAAAAATATTAAATACAAAAATAAATTCTTAAGTGATACAGTAAATCAGATAATAGACGTAATAGTAAATAAATTACCCGTATCAAATCCTAGACCGTTTACAATGGTTGGAATGAAAAAAGAAAAAGAATATACTACGACAATCGCGCAAAAAAATATAAGCATGTTTATATAGACTTTCTAATCATAAATAAATTAATAAATAAATTAAAACTTTAGTTATTTTTAATATAAATATGTACAATAAAGTAAATTAATAATAATAAATATATACGATATATATGTTATAAGTGGGAACAAAATTTAAATGAATTTTGAATTTTTTAGGATTTTAAAGTTATGTTGTAGGTTTAGTTTATACTGCATAAAATAGATTCTGTTTTATCCACTTAAATTCAATTCCCATTTACAACAAATATATGCTTTTTATATGAATTACCAAATCTTTAAAAGCTTGAAAAATCTGAAATTTATCAAAATGAGTTGTGTGGGCATGTCCGCCATCAATTCGTAATCGATCAATGACTAACTTTCTTTCATCTTCCGTAAGCCAAGTAGCGGTTTCCGCATAATTCGATATTAACAAGTATGAGAAAAGTCCAACAATGACTGTCGCTAGCCCATCGATAAGAAATATCTAATATTAAGGAAAAAAAAATGACAATGAAAAATTAAAAGAATTCGAAATGTTATGAATTAAATAAATCAAACAAATCATATATTAAAATATGTATGTACCCATTGCCAACCACTTAAACCAGATTTACCATCTAATTTTGTGATAGCATATGCTAAAAGACCGTTAAATGTTCCAGCAATTGTAGCACCAGTATAAAACAAGCTAATTCGATAACCTCGTTCAGATCTCTTATACCATTTTGTAATATAAAATATGATACCGGGCAAAAGACCAGATTCAAAAACACCCAATAAAAATCTTATGCCCATCAATTGAGAAAAATTTTTTACCTTAGCGTTAGGAAAAATAATTAATAATTCATATTACGAGTTGATTAGAATCTATTAATACTAATTTATCTTTAATACATACAAATGCCATACTTATCATTGTGATACCCCAACCGACCGTGAGTGTTGAAACTATAAAGAGAAATTAACGATGTGAATAAATTTTATCTTAGCAATTAACTATATAAATTATAGTGAAAAAAATGAAAAACTGACTCCAAATCGAAGGTTTGACTTTGATTAATATGATATTGGATGGTACTTCGAATACTACATACCCGCTGTAAACTTAAAAAGTAAATTCAAACTGTGCAATTACTGTAACAATACCAAAAAATAAAATAAAGCTTACAAAAAGAATATGGCCAAACACCAATTAAATTGATCTCCTACTAAATTAAGGTCACGTTCCAAATGGGCTAATTTCGCATTTCCAATGTTGACTCTAAAGTAATAAAGATTAATCAAAATTTGATAATAAAATTTTCATAAATTTTTAATTAAAGTAAGATATATATACCTATCCAAGAAACTAAGGGTAAAAAGAAGTGTAAGCAAAGGAATAATTCTTAAATCAAGCTTTGTTAATAATTTTTTTTCTTCAACACTTGAAATTTTTGTGTTTTCAACGATTTTTTCAGAAATATCGACTGAATGTGTAGCCATTATTTTGATGTAATAAATTTTTTTGTTATATTACAATGAATTTATGAATGGTCTTGAAACAAACTCGATTATAAAATAAAAAGGATTTATAAAAAGAGAAATACTAAAACCACTATATTAAAAAAAAAAAAAAAAAACGGAACAAAAAATGTTATTCATACATGAATTCACAAGCATTTGTACGTTATTTTGAAAATAACACCTCTAAAAACAGCATGGTTGATTTCGAGATAATGTCCATGTACCTATAACCACCAGTGGATTTACTTGTTAAAATGAGCATTTTCTTTATTGGGAATTTCTAATTATCCGGATTATCCGGGAAAATGGCAATTTTTTAAAATTTAAAATTATAAACTTTGGGTTCCAATCATTCTCCGACGATCACTTCCTCGATATTTTCATTTTCCCGACAATCACTTCCTTGACATTTTCATTTCCCCGAAAATCACTTCCCCGCAATGGGAAGAAGTTCATCTGATTGGTTAATTTTTAAAGTTTATAAATTAATAAATACGCAAAAGAATTAATTAATCCCGTCTATACAAAAGATAGGTAGATACAAGTAAAGTAGGATAATCGTGGCATTTATTATTAATAAGCCCAAACTTATAAATACAATATATAAACCAAAATTTATTACGATTGACAAACCCAAACACATTACAATAACAGAATCTTAAATCTGGGGTTAGTAATAATAGTCTAGTTAAATCTAACGAAGTTAGACAATTTTGAACAAAAAACGTTTTCAATTACTACATATCGGTCAAGTGTGATGTCAAAAAATCTTCAGAGTAGTGATTTAACTAGCTAGTGTTTTTTTTTCTGGTACCCACGGAAGCCGGAGCGTTATTAATTTGATAAGTTAATGTAAATCTAAATATGTATTTTATTGGCTAAAAAAATAAATCATGATTCCTTAATTAAGAATTATGGTGAATGTTAGGAGTACTACCTAAAGGAGTATGTCGGAAAATCAAAAGTAGTTGCGTATGACAGGCTTTATAATCATACTCACGTGCAGTGTTAAAGATCTGAACTTTTTTTTTTGGTTCTTGAGAACATAAATTGATAATTTTATGAAGAAAAAAAAAAAAAAGAGAAATTATATATTTTTATATAAATTTTATGTTCTTAGTTGGTTTTCAAAAGAGAACATAATTTTTAAATACAATGTTCTCAAAGTTTTTTAAATGTTTTTGAGAACACTGAGAACATCAGATCTTTAACACTGCTCACGTGTATAATAGATAATCAAATGATCAAAATAATTTTATCGATTTCCTGAATTTGTATCAAAAGTATGTACTCTTGCAAAATAAAACTAACAATGTAATAATGAATAAGTTTGTAGTTTTCGTGGTTACGAACGAAAAATCCTAAATCAAACTTTTTCTTGTACGGCTCAAAAAACACATACCTTTAAATAGATCATAGCTTTCGAATTATCGATGGTTTGAAAACTTCGTATGAGGAGGATTTAGAGGTATTTAACGATGATAGATATGAAACTGATAGTGTAAATATATAATTCATTATTATTATGAATTAGAATTCAAATAATATTTATTACAATAGGATTTACCTTCAGAAAATGATGCTTTAAACATTGAAAATGACACGGCAGCAACGCACAATACTAATAATGAAAACAACCCATTCTATTTTACAAAAGAATTAACATCACAAGTTGTTCATCACATGTTAATGAC